GGCTGAACTAACACAACACCAAGTGTCTGAAAAATGTCACCAGTAGAAGGTAGTAGCGCCTGATTGTCTCCCGATGCTGCCATTCCCACACATGACCCAGGACGGTCGCTTTTTCTGCCTACCCCTTGCCTGTCCTTGCTCTAAACTAAAGCAACCTCAGCCGCATGCTCTGGAGAATGAGAGGAAGACTACACCATCATGTGACGAGCCTCCCAGGATCATTGTGAAAAGCTACAAAAATGGCTGCAATGGATTGTTTCATACTAAAAACAAAAGTAGACTTTTTTTGGGATGTCATAAAATGTTGTAATATGTCCCAGATAGCAAAAACCCCCCACAAAAGTCAGTCCGGTGATTTATTAAACTTGCTGCCTGTAGTTTTACCAGTGGAGCGTGCAATATACAGTACGACCAGAAGGTGGCAGTGCAGGGCTTACAGTGAGGATGACAGCAGTCTAAAGGTAAAGTCACAGCTGTACACATGAGTTATGAAGACACAGATGGGGGTCCATTGTGCAATTTACAAACAATGCCGCACAGATCTCCATCATCTGGAGAGAGCTGGACAATTTAGGAATCCATTTACTAAAGATAGACGGACTGGGTGGATCAGTGTAGCGTGGAGCCCCCGGATCTGCTGCACAGAATCAGATTTGCTTCAGCAGTAATGTTCAACCTTTTTAAAACCTGAAGCTTTTATTAAAATAATCCCTGGCGATCCTGCCACGAAGCGCCTTGTTCAGGCATTTCCTATTATAGGGTGACAACGCTAGTCTACGTCTCCCAATTGTGCTCCTGTGTTGTCACCACAATGGGCATGGATCACTGTTGTCACCAATGCCATGCAGCCGTGGCAAAACAGGAAGTGGCTGCAGGAGATCAGATGTAACAAAGAATGACTCCTCACAGTCTCTAATGATGTTTAACACCCCCAATGCTCCCAGTAGACAGATACGAACGTTTTTCTGGGTTTTATGTCACAGGGTGGATCTTTTTTTTTAAATTTTTTAATTATTATTCCTATTTTTACTGAAATACTGTGATTTGCTGACGTGTAACTTCGTATGAATGGGGATACAGCAGTGAAAGGGTTAAACGAATCCACGTCTCAGTGACTAGCCAGCCCCCGGAATTCCCCCCAGACATGGAAATCTTATATAAGCACACCGACCGTCTTCTTCACTGCCCCAGCTATATTTCTGCAGGGGATACAGACTGCCAGGGGCACAGGGCACTTATCCTAAGCCTGGCAAGGGCAGTGCCACCTCCTGGGGCTGCTGGAGGCAGTGTGGGCAAAGGCAGACATCCTGCATGACTGGCACAGGGGTACAAAGACAGCTGTTGCTGCTGGTGCAGGGACTGGGATGTCTTGTGGGGATACCCTGGTACTGTACATAGAAGAACTGGCAAAGGAAGTGGGCATCTTCAACAAGACTTGGGTATAGCTAACACGTGGGCTGGCAGCAAACAGTGCAGCTGGTAAGACTGGCAGGGGAGGGTCCATTGCACAGTAAATTATTGCGAGACTGGCAGCGAGTGGGCATTTTTGATCCAGCAGTGTACAGTGAGGCTGGACGTGGGCATCTGGGCAATATTTGGGTATAGAAGACTTGTGCTGGCAGCACATCATACATTAGCTGTTATCAGTGGACTGTCCATTGCACATTGTGGCATTCACCAGTAGATTACTCCGAGACTGGCAGGCAGTGGGCACTGTGATTGGGCAGCAATTGTACACTGAAGCTGGAAGTGGGTATCTGGGCAATATTTGGGTATAGAACACTTGGGCTGACGGCAAACAATACATTAGCTCTTATGACTGCCAGGGGACGGTCGATTGCACATAGTGGCACTGAGCAGTAAATAATTCAGAGACTGGCAGGGACTGGGCACTGTGATTGGGCAGCAATTGTACACTGAAGCTGGAAGTGCGTATCTGGGCAATATTTGGGTATAGAACACTTGGGCTGGCAGCAAACCGTACATTAGCTGGTCACACTGGCATTCAGCAGTAAATTATTCCGAACCGGCAGGCAGTGGGCACTGTGATTGGGCAGCAATTGTACAGTGAAGCTGGAAGTGGGTATTTGGGCAATATTTGGGTTCAGAACATTCGGCTGGCAGCAAACAGTACATTAGCTGGTCAGATTGGCAGGGAGCAGTACATTTTTCCGAGACTGGCAGGGACTGGGCACTGTGATTGGGCAGCAATTGTACAGTGAAGCTGGAAGTGGGTATCTAGGCAATATTTGGGCACAGAAGACTTGGGCTGGCAGCAAACAGTACATTAGCTGGTCAGACTGGCAGCGAGCAGTAAATTATTCCGGGACTGGCAGGGCATGCCTTGTGATTGGGCAGTGGGCAGTAAATGACAGGGCAGGACAGCTTATCACCTGGCGATGCAGTGACAGTGGGCAGTGCCTAGCAGGTTGGCAGTCAGTGGGAGAGTGGCCAGGGAAAGGGGCAGAGCAGTGACGTTGGCAGGGGGAAGGTGAGACTGGCAGGGTAGAGCAGCGCTGGCTGGCAGTGGGCAGAGGAGGACATAGAAGGGTGACTGCAGGGAAGAGCAGCACAGAGTGGCACTGGCATCCCTGAAGCTGGCATCGTGCAGGATTACAGCCTAGCCTGTCCCCCCCTTGCCCTCCTCCTTCCATGTCTATGTGAGCCTGGTGGCTGCTCACTTGGCTGAACAGGGGATGGATGAGATGAAGTCAGTCGCCGCCGACTCGTACCTGTCACTGGCTCAGAGCTACGGCCAGACCTTCTACGGAGCTCTCCGCGGTGCTGACGCTGCGCGCAATTACGCAGCGCCTCCAGCCCTCGACTTCAACCCCAACTCCCGGGACAGCAGCGACGAGCAGACCGGGGACGACGACGACACCTACGAGTCGACCAAGGGCTCCGCTTCCTACGACAACGAAGGCAAGCTCATTGGCAAGAAGCCCAAGGAGCCGAGGTCCCTGAGGCTGAGCATCAACGCCAGAGAGAGGAGGAGGATGCACGACCTGAACGATGCCTTGGACGGGCTCCGATCCGTCATCCCCTATGCCCACAGCCCTTCCGTCAGGAAACTCTCCAAAATTGCCACCCTGCTCCTTGCCAAGAACTACATTCTCATGCAGGCCCAGGCTCTGGAGGAGATGAGGAGGCTGGTGGCTTACCTGAACCAAGGACAGACAATAACCAGCAACCTGAGCAGCACCCTGGCTCCTTTTGGACAGTCGTCTGTGTACCCTTACCCTGGCACCAACGTGCCAGCCTCTCCTGAGAAATGCACAGCCTTCCCTGGTGCCACCTCGAGCCTTTGCAAGCACTGTACAGACAAACCTTGATGGACCTTCTTCTTCTTCTCCTCCTGGCTGCCCATCTTCAGGACTTTCTCTTTCTTTCTCTCTCTTGCCACCCACTTCTCAGGACTCAAAAACATTCACCCTCTGCCTTGCTGGGATCTGGGGGGTCATGTACTGTGCCCATGCTTCTCTTACTTGCTGAGAGTAGAAGGTTTCCATCCCATTGACCACACTTAGAACTTCACTCGGGAAGATTCCTTCCATTAGAAAGTCTGGATTTATTCTGCACCGCAATCATAATAAATCAGACTCCATATCAAACCTCGGGTCCTGTCTCCTTCTAGCTCTTCATTGCTACCATGTGATTGATGTGTTTTATGTCCGGGATGTGGGGTGCAGGCTATTTCCAGGATGTGGGGTGCAGTCTTTATGTCCAGGATGTGGGGTCAGTCTTTATGTCCAGGATGTGGGGTGCAATCTTTATGTCCAGGATGTGGGGTGCAATCTTTATGTCCAGGATGTGGGGTCAGTCTTTATGTCCAGGATGTGGGGTGCAATCTTTATGTCCAGGATGTGGGGTCAGCCTTTTTGTCCAGGATGTGGGGTCAGTCTTTATGTCCAGGATGGGGGGTGCAATCTTTATGTCCAGGATGTGGGGTCAGTCTTTATGTCCAGGATGTGGGAAGCAGTCTATTTCCAGGATGTGGGGGTCAGTCTTTATGTCCAGGATGTGGGGGGCAATCTTTATGTCCAGGATGTGGGGTGCAGTCTTTATGTCCAGGATGTGGGGTGCAATCTTTATGTCCAGGATGTGGGGGGCAGTCTTTATGTCCAGGATGTGGGGTGCAATCTTTATGTCCAGGATGTGGGGGGCAGTCTTTATGTCCAGGATGTGGGGTGCAATCTTTATGTCCAGGATGTGGGGGGCAGTCTTTATGTCCAGGATGTGGGGTGCAGTCTTTATGTCCAGGATGTGGGGTGCAATCTTTATGTCCAGGATGTGGGGTGCAGTCTTTATGTCCAGGATGTGGGGTGCAATCTTTATGTCCAGGATGTGGGGTCAGTCTTTATGTCCAGGATGTGGGGTGCAGGCTATTTCCAGGATGTGGGGTGCAGTCTTTATGTCCAGGATGTGGGGTGCAATCTTTATGTCCAGGATGTGGGGTGCAGTCTTTATGTCCAGGATGTGGGGTGCAGTCTTTATGTCCAGGATGTGGGGTGCAATCTTTATGTCCAGGATGTGGGGTGCAATCTTTATGTCCAGGATGTGGGGTGCAATCTTTATGTCCAGGATGTGGGGTGCAATCTTTATGTCCAGGATGTGGGGTGCAAGCTTTATGTCCAGGATGTGGGGTGCAGTTTATTTCCAGGATGTGGGAAGCAGTCTATTTCCAGGATGTGGGGTCAGTCTTTATGTCCAGGATGTGGGGGGCAGTCTTTATGTCCAGGATGTGGGGTGCAGTCTTTATCTCCACGATGAGGGGAGCAGTCTATTTCCAGGATGTGGGGGGCAGTCTCTATGTCCAGGATGTGGGGTGCAGTCTCTATGTGCAGGATGTGGGGTGCAGTCTCTATGTCCAGGATGTGGGGAGCAGTCTTTATGTCCAGGATGTGGGGAGCAGTCTTTATGTTCAGGATGTAGGGCGCAGTCTATGTCCAGGATGTGGGGCGCAGTCTATGTCCAGGATGTGGGGCGCAGTCTATGTCCAGGATGTGGGGCGCAGCCTTTATGTCCAGGGTGTGGGGCGCAGTCTTTATGTCCAGGGTGTGGGAAGCAGTCTATTTCCAGGATGTGGGGGGCAGTCTTTATGTCCAGGATGTGGGGTGCAATCTTTATGTCCAGGATGTGGGGTGCAATCTTTATGTCCAGGATGTGGGGTGCAGTCTTTATGCCCGGGATGGGGGGTTGGATGTGGGGCGCAGTCTATGTCCAGGATGTGGGGCGCAGTCTATGTCCAGGATGTGGGGCGCAGTCTATGTCCAGGATGTGGGGCGCAGTCTATGTCCAGGATGTGGGGCGCAGTCTATGTCCAGGATGTGGGGCGCAGTCTATGTCCAGGATGTGGGGCGCAGTCTATGTCCAGGATGTGGGGCGCAGTCTATGTCCAGGATGTGGGGCGCAGTCTATGTCCAGGATGTGGGGCGCAGTCTATGTCCAGGATGTGGGGCGCAGTCTATGTCCAGGATGTGGGGCGCAGTCTATGTCCAGGATGTGGGGCGCAGTCTATGTCCAGGATGTGGGGCGCAGTCTATGTCCAGGGTGTGGGGTGCAGTCTCTATGTGCAGGATGTGGGGTGCAGTCTCTATGTGCAGGATGTAGGGCGCAGTCTATGTCCAGGATGTGGGGCGCAGTCTTTATGTCCAGGATGTGGGGAGCAGTCTCTATGTCCAGGACGTGGGGTGCAGTCATAGATTAAAGGAGCGGGTATTGTCTTTATTAAATGGTAACCGTTGTACAAATGTCTTTTATTTGAAACAAAGTCAAAAGGTCAGAACCCAACAACACTGAGGAGTAAAGAAATGACATCAGCTCATCAGGTTGTGTTACCAGGTCAGGTGGTGGGTATTGGCGTCACCATGGATGCCACCATCTTATAGAAGGATTATTGAAGGATACATGTTTTATGTCATACACATTTGAAGGGGAATTTAAGCCCCCCATAGGTCACCAGACCACCGATCCGCCATCACTACCAAACCACCGATCCGGCATCAATACCAGACCACCGATCCGCCATCACTACCAAACCACCGATCCGGCATCAATTGCTACCAGACCACCCACCCGCCATCGCTACCAGACCACCCACCCGCCATCGCTACCAGACTTCATCTTTATTACTAAATTATCACTTTTCTTGCTGAATCTTTTCTCCCAATTTAAAGTCACATGTCAATACAAAAAGTCACTTGTGCCACCCAACACCTGGTATACCTGTGTGTTAGGAATGGATCACAATGTGATTGTCTTTATATTATACTCATCATTTCATTTATTGGGTACAAGTCTCAATGGTTAGTTCTGTGCACCATCAATCCTCCATTCAATGTGATTTTATACCATAGAATATTAGTTTATACTATGCAATAGGACTTTATACTATGCAACAGGACTTTATACTAGGCAATAGGACTTTATACTAGGCAATAGGACTTTATACTATGCAATAGGACTTTATACTAGGCAATAGGACTTTATACTAGGCAATAGGACTTTATACTAGGCAACAGGACTTTATACTATGCAATAGGACTTTATACTAGGCAACAGGACTTTATACTATGCAATAGGACTTTATACTAGGCAACAGGACTTTATAATATATATTATGACTCTATACTCTATAATATGACTCCATAATATATAATATAACTTTCTACTCTATAATATGACTCCATAATATTACTTTAAACTATATAATAGCACTTCATGATATATAATATGACTTTATACTCT